GGAAAGGTGCTATTGGGGGAGCTATTGCCCCTGCCCTGGGAAGGAAGCCCCAGCTAATAGAGAACCAATCTGTCCCCCAACCTTCTTTTCCCCACTCCTCCTAGATCCCACTTCTGGACTCATCCATATGTTGCAACCTGGGTAGCTTGCATATTCTCTGCAGGCTGTTTGCACACTGTTGCATTCCTGGGAGTGGAAAGGTCACACATCTGGGGCCAGGAATGGGAGCTGGCTCGGTGCCAGAACTGTGCCCTGGACAAAAGTTTAGATGGTGGGAATTTTTCCTGTACAGAACAGAAGCATAGCGAAGGGGATACTGCATCCTGGGATGGTAAAGGACTAACTTGGACAACTCATCTGTGGAGAGTGGCCACACTTAAATAACACCTTTAGTGCACTGTCAACAATTTAGAGATAAAAGACTTCAAATACAAAGCATTTCCTTTCATTTAAACAGTCTCCCCTTGATGTCTGTGATACAAAAGAATGGTCTAGTAAAATAAGTGTTTACTAGGCCTGTGCATTTGCTTCGGATTTGGATTCAGCTGATTTGGTGGACAGTGATTTGACTTGGTGATTTGAATCAGTCCCGAATTGATTTAGCCGAGTCAGATTAGGAGATTCCGTTGCTGCTGAATCAGCCAAATCTCCGAATCAAACAGGCCGCATCCCCATCCACTCTCCCAGCCCCATCAATGGCTGTCCCACCCGGCCCCAGCTCCTGGCTTTCTTTTTTTTCAAAGCCCTTCACTCACCAGCAATCCCCACTGCCCCACGCTGCATGGGGGGCTCTGCCATGAGTCCCCAGAAGCCCTGAAAGCTGCAGCAGCAGCCAGTGAGTGTGGGGCTTATTTATTTATTTATTTATTTTTTAAGGGCTGGGATGCTGGGGCCAGGTGGGGCAGCCATTGACAGGGCTGGGACAGCAGGCAGGGGTCAGGGGTGCTTAGGAGGGCTGGGGGAGCAGGCAGGGGATGAAGCCTGCTGGCAATCTCCCTATGGTCCCCTGTTCCCTCGCTCAGCACCGCCCCCCCCACCCCCTACTTACTGGCATGAAGTTCAGGTCCAGCTCTCTGTGGCAGCAAGCAAGGACTGCCCGAATCACTGAACCTCTGAATCTTCTCTGAAACGATTCAGAGGCTCTGGATCAGTTCAGACCTTTCTATTGGTCTCCCAATTTGGATTTGGAGATTCAGCCGCCAAATTGGGCCAAATCTCCTCTGAGCTGAATCAGCAACTGAAGCTTTGCACAGCCCTAGTGTTCACTACAAGTAACTGTAAAATATGTTAGAAGTCCAGAATATCTCCATTATAAATTTCTCATTTCATTTTCAAATATGAGAGTGAGGACAAAAACTGTTCTTGAATATAGAAGACAAATATATGTTTCTTTGAACTGTTTGATGTTACATAAGAAAAGGATTGTAATGTACATAAATGTACCATATTAACTTAAATCTGAGACAACCCTGAATTTAAGACAACTCACCAATAATTAGAATCTATATATGTAAAATGTATATATTTATTATAATTTTCCAGGTATAGAATATGATTATACATAAATCCCAACTGCTACAGCAGGAAAAGCAGTGGCTGGGGAGGGAGGTCAGGTAGTCCCCTTGTCTTCTGCCCCCCCACTTCTTCACACTGCAGCCTTTCTGCTCTTTGCTTCTCTGCCAGCTGAACCCACACACCCCTAGCTCCCCACAGTCTCCCCCCTCCGCCCCCCCC